GGAAGTATGCAATTGATAAACAATATGTGTGGACAATCTTGGTGTCTATTCAGTTCAATCCCTAAAGGTACACAGTGCCTGCTTGTTTCAGGATTTAGGCATCATGTTACCTATATGAAACATGGCAATGTCCAGATTCTAGATATATAATGGTTGTACAACGAGCTTCTATGCTTTTGTTAAAGGCTTATTTAGGTCACTGACAGTGCGCAGTCATGATTATTGCTCTTTCATGATCTTTTTATTCTCATTTGGGATGAGCCATTTGCATATATTACTAGCCACTGCTGCCCGTGCTTCGCTACGGTTGATGTGCTTGGTATAGGAAAAAAATTGAGAAATATGGCTCATATGTCTAATATGTTTTCTCATCGTGTTGGTACGAAAGGTTGGTCTCAATATTGTAAACGAACATAGAGGTTGGTTGTCATTACATGGTGCCTATTCTAGGCCAGCAAATCAATGCCATGTTAGTGGAAAGAAGTATTTGATAGAGTTGGGCTCAAGCAACTAACACACTTAGATTTAAAGCACAACATTGGGTAGGATTACATTATAGGTGGAAATAGCAAAAACTACAACAAAGTACTTCTCCTAACGCGAGGGTTTACAAAAAAGTGAATTAGGATCCACTCCCCTTAGGCGAAACTACAACACGCATCAACAACTACGGACGACAACAATGGCAAGAGTACAATACAGGAGGACAGCGACGAAAAGCACTACTACTACAGGTACAGCATCCCAAGGCAACTAATCTACCTTGGAACCACGCATCTTTATTCCTGTGCTCGGCGGATTCTTCTACCGCCCTGGCTATGGATCTACATCTTCTTGTGGCAATGGCTGAGTGAGAGGAACCAAGGTTTCTCCTTCTAACACTTTCAAAGGTGGAGGTGCTAGTGGTTCTGCATCACCGGTTCTCCTTCTTTCAGGCGGGTGGATAGGGATCCCCTCCAAGATCGGGGCATCCTGCCTTTCATCAACCAGCGTCCTCCGCTTGGCCATAGTGAACAGATAGGCCTCACCCAGCTGATGAACATGCCGATCTTCGGCCTCCTTTAGAGCTTCTGACATTGCAGTCTCCCGGCTCTCAGCAGCTGCAGCACTGGCATGCGCTTCGGCGAGCTGCACCTGGAGCATCCGAGTGAAGATCTCGGCTTCTTCGGCGCGCCGGAGGCACGCCCTCAGCTCCAAGGCTTGCCAGTCATACTGCTCATCCAAAGCAAGCAGGTACGTGGTCAAGTGCACCACGGTAGGACTATCTTCCTGCGCATCCCGCCCTTGCAAAGCCTCCATGCGAGCCCTCCATGCCCATCGATTCCTATCCAAGGGTGGAAAGAACCTCATGGGGGTACGGGCAATGGGCTCTTCATAGAGCTGGTAAAGGTACCGCAAGGCTTTGCGGGCCACAACCTGGTAGGTGTCGGTGAAGCTAAACCCGGTTGCAGTCACACTCCAGGCTTCGGTGATGTCGAGGAACTCTTCACTCTTCCCAATGTAGACGGTAACCTCACACCGATCGGTGCCATGCTTCTCATACTCACGGCCCTCGTACTCGGGATGATCTTTGACTCTGAGCTTTTGCAGGGTGGCATGCAGGATTCTAGGAAAACCCTCAACGTTCAGGCAGTACCTACTAACCTAGGCTCCTACCATTTCAAGCGATGGCTACAAAGAAGGGCTGAGCAAAAAGCTTGCTCAAAGGGAAAACCTAAGCGGGCTAAAGTGCGCCGAGTGGTGGTACCAATGGCTAAGCCAGGCTCTGCTTATAAAGGCGGAGCGGTCTGTGGTCCTGGCGTGGTTCACTAGGGTTCTTGCATGGGATCACTACGAACGAATCGACCAAATTCCGCGCGTTCAAGGTGAGTGACGTGTGGTGCCATTACTGAGTAGTACGACTGCAGGGCAAGGGTCCGACAAGAGCGCATAAAAGGGGCACGAGGAGACGTGGGTCACTACTGATGTGACTCACGGGCGAATGCGGAGCACGAAGCCACAGTGCAGACCTAATTCTGTAACAAGAACGAGTAGGCCATGCACACTACGACACGCGTGACACCCATGGATGGCGTATCTGCCAGCAATACGGCACAATAATGCACAAACAGGATATGCATGAATGCACGTTCTATGCGTTCAAGGTGAGCGATGTCTAAGGCCATTAATGACTAATACAGCTGCAAGTCAAGGTTCCGACAAGAGCCCAAAAAAGAGTACGGGGAGACTTGGGTCATGGTAGGCGTAACCGTAGGCGACGCAAAGCACAAAGCCACAAGGAACGAGCACCTCTACAAGCATGGATGCAGATGCAATTATGGTAGCTGTAGTAATGGCGACCAACCCCAACCACCGACCATCTCGGGAGCAATGTGCACACAACCCAAGCCGTGTCTTAGATGCATGGATGCATGTGTAAGTACAAATGGTCCTACATGGTCGGTGAATCGCTTTTATCCGATGGTAAGGAGGACAAGCATTAAATGTGTCCACCTACCCAACATGTTTTTATCTGATGGTAACATGAAGGGGAGGCATCAAATGTGTCCACCTGCTGTTGACCCACCCTGCGTAGGTGAAGATGTCCAGTGCTTTCAAACTTACTTAGTGAATTTCTGGATACCTTAGGGAATGGCTTTGGACACTACTTGTTTCGTGCGTGTAAAAATCCTGCCGCTTTCCTTTTATTGGTCTCCGCGCCAAACTAAATAGGGGACTGCGCCAGGACCAATGACCGCTCCACCATTACAAAAGGACTAGCCTAGCCACTTGGTACCACCACTCGGTGAGTCTCAGCTCACCTAGCCTTTTTCCCGAGCAAGCTTCTCGCTCGAGCCTTCCTTGTAACAATCATCCACCAAGGATGGCAGGAGCCTGGGTTAGCAGCTATTGCCTAAACACTGAGGGTTTCCCCAAAATCCTGTATGCCACCTTGCAAAAACTCGAAGTCAAGGATCACCCTGGGTATGAGGGTCGTGAGTATGAGAAACATGGCACTAAGCGATGTGAGGCCACTGTCTATATTGGGAAGAGTGAGGAGTTCCTCGATACCACTGAAGCCTGGAATGTGACCGCAACCGGGTTCTGCTTAGTCAACATCTACCAAGCTGTGGCCCACAAAGCCTTGGGGTATCTTTGCCAGATCTATGAAGAGCCAATTGCTCGTACCCCCAAGAAGTTCTTTCCACCTTTGGAAAAGAATCGACGTGTATGGAGGGCTCGCATGGAGGCTTTGCAAGTGGGGGACGCGCAAGAAAATAGCCCAACCGTGGTATATTTGAACAGGTATTTGATTGCTCTAGATGAGCAGTACGACTGGCAGGCCTCGGAGCCGAGGAAGTGCCTCCGTCGAGCTGAGGAAGTCGAGATCTTTTCTAGGATGCTCGAAGTGCAACTCGCTGAGGCGCACGCCAATGTGGTAGCCACAGAAAGTCATGAGACTGCCATGGCGGAAGCCCTGAAGGAGGCTGAAGATCGGCACACCCAGTAGCTAGAGGAGGCTTATCTGGTCACAAGGGTCAAGCGTAGTACACTTGACATAGTAAGGCAAGAACCCTTGGTCTTGGAGGGAATGCCTGTCCACCCACCGGAAAGAAGGAGAACCGGTGTTGCAGTACCACCAGCACCTCCACCCTCAGAGGTATCAGAAGTAGAGTCCTTGCTTCCCCTCACTCAGTCACCACCATGAGATGAGGCAGATCCTTAGCCAATGCAGAAGAAGAACCAACCGAGGTCAGGAATGAAGCCATTTGGTCCGACAAAGTAGATGAGTTGTCCTAGGGGACATGTACCCGTAGTTAGTAGTGCTTTTCATCACCATTCTCTAGTGTTGTAATCTTTCCGTTGTATTTCATCCGTAGATGTTAAGCATCGTTGAGTCGTAGGATACAAACGATGTGTCCAGAATAGGAGAGTGAGTGCTTGTATGTTGTATCCGTATAAGGGTGTTTGGGATGTGCATTTTGCTTTATCTGTTGTGTTTGCTATGTCGATTTACCCTTAGACCTCGTTAGACTTAGGGCTCTCGAGGCAAAAAACAAACGAGTTACAAGAAAAGCAACCATTCAGATGCAAGCCTGAAGTTGGGTGAACATTTCATTATATCCCCTCGATCTGTATTCTTAAGACATTCTCTCAGTCTCAACTTTTGACATGGTTACTCACTATGTTGGATACCGATAAATGCACATGCGTTTGAGCATTTCTCAAACCTGAAGTTGGGTGAACAAAATTCTCATTCGGTTTGCTTGCTAGAATAGGGAGAGAGAAAGGACTACGAGACAAAGAGGAGGCGCAGCACCTCTATTTGCATGTCAAATCTGAGGTGGAGAGCTGTATCAGCTATCTGAAGGAGAAAAGGGAAGAGGACTCCTTACATGAGTATACTGTCCAGGCTTCTCTACCAAGCACTTCATGGTCCCAATGCAGAAATACCCACATCTGAACCGTGAAATGTTCGACTTCGAGAGTACCAATTGTTTATATTATTCCTACTTGTTTTCTTGTCAACAAAGTTGCTTGTTACTATTGTCCTCAAAAGAATTATGATGACTGATTTTATCATAGCTCATTCAAAGCATATAGAGGACAATAGAATTCAGGTCATAGCTCATAAGTGTAAATGTGTAAGTACAACATCAGAAGTATTTATTTTTGGCTCATACCATTGCAAAAAGCGCATGGGCTCAAGTCAAGAGGAGAAATGAAGAATAATACGTTCCTGTTTGGATCCTAACAGATTCCAGCTTTGGTATCCAAACAACCCACGACCATCCAGCTCACACAAATCTCACAACCTGAGATAACCAAGCCTCCACCAGCTTGTGGAAGCTGGTGTGGATCCAAACACTACCTTATACATAAAAAAATAGATGAAATAAATAATTTCATTGGAAGGTTAGTCTGTACATCAATGGCAATAAGCAGTTAAGTTTGATAAGTTAGCGACGAAATGGTATGGACAAATTTTATCTGCAGCTTCACGAGTGTGCAAGGAGTTCTTAGTTGCTTATGTCAAAATACTTGGGATTTGCTGGGAAGTCATGCTCAGCACGCAGCTACAAGGAGGAAAAAAAGAATCAGTTAGCCGTGTATCCAACCAAGAAGCCAAATGGAACATCTACAGCAGTCAGTCTAAACGGCATCATGTGGTAAGCTTTATGAAACATATTTAGAAGTTGCCAAAGTGACACATCCAGTAATAATGCAAATATATTAGAATGACAGAGTCAAGCAAGAACATAACAACCTAATTTTTTCAACCCACGGTCGGTAGTTCTGTGGATCCTAGAATACTTTTTATGTTACGTTCAGATGATCAGTCTCACCACTTCATAAAGAATTACTACCTCTATTCTAAATTATAGTTCACTGTATCTTTGTATCTAAGTCAAATAAATCTAGCTTTGACCAACTTGAAAAAAAACGTGTACAAGTTCAAATAGATACATTATAAAAACATATCTCATATTTAGTGAAACTAATTTTATGTTAAAGATGTTTGTGCATTATTCTATTAGCTAGGTCAAATTTAGAAAATTTTGATTTAAGATAAGTTAAAGTCAAATATAATTTGTAAGGGTGCTTAAACTAAAGGTGTGCTACAAGGACGAAATAGACGGCCTAGATATGTATCTTAATTGCCACGTACCTTGCCTTTGTCAGAGTCTGATTGCCTCTGAGGGAAGACAACTCTAATATCATTGTAAAGATAAAATCTTCTCTCTTCCTCAGTCCTACTGCGAGTGTGCGGTTCTGATGACAGATCCAATTTGCAATGCTGCCTTGATTTTGATGGGTTCTTGGAGAAGGGGCTCAGAAAATGTAAGTGCAAAGCATACCGCAGAACCCCTCGAGCTGGAATGTCATTGACCTTGGGAGATCTACTGAAAGATTTCTTTCCACCTTGACATGAGTCTATTTGACAGCAGCAACCCTCAGCATTAGCATCATTTTCTGAATTCCCCGAAGTAGCGTATGCATTTGGTTCTCTAACGTCACACTCCATGGGAAAACACTCCATATCTGCAGAACCTCCCTTTTCCGACTCATGCCTATTGTCCAAACCTACAAAGTTAAAACAACTTTTAACTAACTTGGACTTCGTAGTTTGGATTTATCTACCAATGGTATTGGCTTTATTACATTCAGAAAATAGAGCACCGCACTCTATAAGTTCACTTCCACACTGGACTGACTCGACCTTTACATCACTGGCCTTGCTTCCTTCTCTGCTCGGATAAGAGGGAGAAGCAGAGGATAGAGCGATCTTTTGCCGCATGAAAGGCTGTCCCATTTTACAATATCAGAAAATGGATTTGAGAAAATGAAGTAAAGAGACAAAACTAAATAAATGTGACCGCTAAAGGAAGGCACAAAACATCCATTTCATAGAAAAGGCAGACATTATTCATGCAGCTGAAGATACTTGCAAGATGGTACCAGATGATAAGCACTTGCAACTCGTGATACATCACAATTTACTCATTTCCACTTGCAAATAAGAAAAAAATGTGCCATGGTATAAAATACAATGAGCCAAAAAAATGCAGTTCATATCAAATCAAAATACATTTTAAAGGCAATAACATAATATTGATTTCTCATACCTTGGTTCCAGCAGGAATGTCACTCAAATCATAGCTACAGAAGAAGATGTGAAGTGGTGTCTTCTCTGGGTTGCTGACCACCTGCCGAGAGTAGATAGTTTTTCTTGAATTGAAATAGGCAAATCAATAGAAATGTGACAATCTGATAGAACTTTCAAAGAACTATCAAAACAAAAGCAGTTTGAAGGTAGCAAGGTGCACCAGGTAAGTTTCAAAGTAAGCTCCAAATGTCGGTGCTAAAGTAGCATCACGAGGTCCATGTCCTATCAAATTTTATAATATGGAACTGAACTCCAAAATAGTAAGAGCCCTATTTTCCCAGAAACAGAAAGGTTCTAAGTTTCTGCAATTTCCTCCTACATCGAGTCACTGGGTTCACAATGTTTCACTGAATACACAAGAGAATGCAGACTTCAAGCTCAAAGTGTGATGTGCTATCATGTGAATTGATCAAAGCAAATGCTATTTACATATTTCATGCATACACAATAAATTGTAAAAAAACAAACAAACTATAATGCATTCACTTCCCATGACAAACTATAGCAACTCAAAGTAAAATGTGCAGATTTTAGTAAGAATAGGTAGTTAAACTTGCAGAAAACTTCCCATTACAATAGGTTTAAAACTGAGATAAAGCATACAACTTTCTACTATATTATCATTAACTGAATAAATATCTTGGTCTACACTAATTCAAAAAATATAATAAAAGGTGCACAGGCATAGTATATCCTGATCAAATTTTATTATAAGGTCAAGCAATCAAAACAGAGGACAGAGTATCTGTTACCTTCAATAGGGGCTGACTGAAAAAACTATGAAATCCAAAATGCCTTGAAAAGTTTCATTAAGAAGCCACATGAGACAGCATTCTTCTCAGCCGAACCCACTTCATTGATCTCAAAGACAGATAATATGCAAGACAGTAAAAATATGATGAAATAGTCATGGTGGTGCAAGCTATGAGACCAACTTCATTGATCTCACAGGCAGATAATATGCAAGACAGTAAAAATATAATGACATAGTCATGGTGCTGCAAGCTACCTGTATAATACTCAATTGCTCCAAACAATTTTACACATAAAGTACATTTGGTGATGTAATCAATCATCGCATCCTCCTTGGATTTCCCTGTTCAGGTGCAAAAGTTGCAACGATGTATAAGCATCAATTCAGAGTTTGGTCAGGGGGAAAATAGCACATCCGGAATAAATCTGAACAAACCTATAATAACCTTCCAAGCATCCCATTTGGCTATGTCCTTCAGGTTGAAAATGCCTTCAGATTGAAGTGATGAGTCCTTTTAGATTTAGTAAGCACTCTATTAGGAAACTGTTAGTAAGCACAGTAGTTAAAAAAAGATGCAAGATCCAAAAGCATAGGATAACCAAACTGTATGTGGGCATCACTGTACCTAAGCTGAAGCACACCCAAGTACAACTATTCCATCAGTTTTTTAGGATCTCCTCTAATGAGGCAATAACGAGGCAAAAGGATGCAAGGAAAGATTGCGTACCACCAGAATATGGGGAAATCTAATGTAAAACTGAATCCTAGTTACAAAAAAAAGGTTTCACTATGTCACCAACATATTCACTACGCTTCTGAAAGGCGATTCAGTTGTGCAATTGATTCAAAGTTGAAACCGAAGACAATGTACATGTTTATTTGCAGCTACACCAGGTCACCAACAACTTATATCTACAGAGTATCCTTTTTTATGGTCTGAATCACTAGTCCTAGAATCACATCAATGTCTCAAATACTTTGAGAAGAAAGGAAGCGTAATTGCCTAAATATATGAATACACTCTGCTAGTTACTTTATACCACCAGGGAAATAGGTCAACTGTATTTGCACAAGATACTACTACCCAGAAATTAATTAATGTAAGCAAATGACAGAATAAAAACAATAGGAGAAAAAGAAGAGGTGCTAGATCACTGTTGCCCGAAACCCTAACCCTAGCCGCCGCCGCCGGCGGCGGGGCTGTTGTCCTAGCCGCGCGCGACCTGGTGGACGTCGGCTCATCGTCGCGTGGGGGAGAGTAGTTGGCGTGCGAGAGGACCAGGGATCATTCACCTTGGAGAGGAAGAGGAGAGCCTTCTCCCGGAGCTCCGGGATGCAGAGGTTGAGCACGAGCTGCGCCATGTCTTGATCCTCCGTTGCGTCATGATCCTCCTTCATCGCGTCTGCACAGGCGGTGGGCGGCGGTCAGCGCCGGGGGAGAGCAGGGGCTCGGACGCCACCGCGGCCACCGGCGTTGGACGGTGCACCATGGCGCTGTGCCGAGGGACGCCGCTATGCCGCGCACAGGGTGCGGGGAGCCTCGGCGGTCGCGACGAGGAGTTTGGAAGAGAGCGAGAGCGCGGAGAGGAGAGAGAGGAGGGGAGGAGGGGAACTGCTGCCGCCTGCCATTTATTACATGAGAGAAAGAGGAAGGAGAGGAACATGATGGAGCCCAGCTCTTCAAAGCAAGTCAGGCCCCAGTGGCTCGCATGCGTGCCGACCACCATGAGTTAGGCACCGACCATGCATGCTGAGAATCCAGCGTTCCCTGCTACGCGCCACCGTCCATTTGCATGCCGCCTACGATCAGAGGAAGCCGTACTTCATTTAATGTGTCTAGTTGCTTCATCTATCTACTGCGGAATGCACGGATGAAGGCCGATTGTGACAGCGCCTCATTTGAGCCGTGGAATCTCTATCTAACGCACCAAATAAAAAGAACATACGTGGGCACTCTGGGAGGCCGCCGATTCGGCGCGCCATATATCTTTAATGATGACTGCTCTGTCTTTTATGATACTTCTATTATGCTTTTATTGAACTATTTGGCATACTGCGTGAAATGTACCCTTACATATATATGGTCTTTTTTGGTGTTCTTAGTGAACTGAGGGCAATGAAAAATCTAGCTGACACTTCTTGCCTTCCATTTTTCACCTTCTAATTGACAGTTCGATGCTCCATCGCGTTGGTGCTTCTATTCAGATATTTTGACATTTCTTTCATGTGTCAATTTTCAAGTTGCCTTGCAATTGCTATTTACCTTAGAATCATGTCTCTGCTCTCTATTTGCGCATTCAGTCCATACCTGCCTATTTATGTATGCAGTATTTGGAAGTTCATGTTGCCTTTTTTTCTTGCTTTGAACCCTGCAGGACTATATATCTCAAACAAAAAATTCGTCAGTGTCTACCTTAACGAGGGCAGTTCTTTTTCTTTGGATGATATTTGCCTGACCGCATATGCTAATACTGTTGATCATCAGAGGGTCACTTCTATTGATAATTTTGGCAAGTTTTAAACTAATTATTAAATATTAAACAGAGGGTACTGAAGACGATGCAACTGTGCTGGTTCATGAATGGTGAATTGGGTATATAGTACCATTTCTGTAATTCTTGCCTTTTCATAACTTCTTGGGTGTGAAATTTCATGGAGATGGGGAACACCAGACGACCAGAGGTGCTCAGGGAAAGAGACACAGAGACACCAAATGGTGCTCACTCATATTCCTATCAGCACTCCTTTCTATGTTCTGTTGATTAATAGGTCCTTCAAGTAGTATCAGCATATATTCTACTTTTTTCTCATTTCATTTTCAAAAAAAAAGTGACCACATATTTCCTCTATTATAGATACTTGCTTTCTTAGATCTAGCATTTGCTGCTTGGTAAGATAGAAAAAGGCATCCCTTAGTGTAATTGTATCGTCTGTTGGTATTAAGAAAGGTCCATAATTAACAATTACAGTTACAGATTCCGCGGTTGTTGCCATGCTGAATATGCCTTTACCACGTGCGTTGTCCTATCTACGGACTTTTATTCAACCTTCTCAGTTCATATATGCTGTCAATAAACAATATGTTCCTGCCATACGTACCTACAACAATGAGATGGAACCTGTAATGTATTTTTCCCATATTAGATTATTAAAGTAACATGCAGTAGGAGTTATCAACTCTTTCAATAAACAGAATATTATCTATATGATTTCTCCTATTTTTCTAAGGTTCTTTCATTTCGTTAAAATATTTGATTGATTGCACGAAATAAATACCCATAGTCAACTCTCAATGACAGGTATCATATAAGATCTTCAGTTGAATTTTGTTTTCACCACACTCCTATATATGGCTCACAAATTTGTAAATTTCATATAGGATGATGGCTAATAATGTCAAAAGTTTTAAGATTATTTCAATACTATTTAAATAATATTGTCTACTGTCATGGCATGCCTCTTATTATACACGAACTGCATGTTACACACTTCCCAGTTAACTAAACCAACTATTACTATCAGAAATATATAGCTAGTGCCAAACTATTTTATGTTTGGAGACGTTAATTTTTTGTTCTGGCTCCGCATTTTATTATGATCTGTCATTTACATTTTTTTTGCGCTGCCTGTGATTGATCCTTGGCCGGATCCGTCAGCTGCATGGTTGGATTTCTCCGCTCCTCATTCAATCTATGCAGTGAATCGGGTGCTAAAAAAACCTCCTTTATCTCCTTTCCTACCTTGCCGGCGGGCGCGAGGGCGCGCGTAATGGACTAGTACATTAGTATCCCCTTATCATACTGAACAATATGGTTGCTTCCTACTGAGCAGCTATATATACTAAGAAGATATATACTTGTATCACGGTATCAGTTACTAACAAAGATTCCATTTATCAAGTGATAGGTGCTCAACTTTACCTAAATAACTTGGGAGAGCTATCAATCATTTAACTACCAATGATGCCCACAGGTCTGTACCTTCACCATGTTCATTATTGATCATGAGTAGCTGTAGTTCAGAGAAACAAGACAGTTCCAAGATGCATCAGCAGTCTATGTACATGCAATAGAATTTGTAGTTATGTGGACCATACCCACAGAATTTCTACCCCTTACTTTCACTTCAAATAAATATTTCTGTAGCAGAGTAACAAATCATTCTTACATCGGCAGATTTCATAGCTATTGCGTATTGGTGAGCTTGACAGCAAGTAACTGAACGAAAGTGAAAAAATAACAATTTGAGAACAGCAATAATCTGAAATTCCAGATTTGCAAAGGCATAATTAAAAAATCTACCAGACCGATTAATAACGTACTAAGAACAAGTGCCTACAACGTCAGGGAGAGGAGAAGCAGGGTTGATAGCCTGCTATTGCTAGCAATTGCGGTGACGAAGGGGTCGCTCACCTGCACTAGACACATGGACACCGCCTGTGCTGTGGCGCCTACGACGCATTCACGCTGCCACCCACCAGGTGCTCGACACCCACCTGCAGGTTCGCGCCGCCCGCCGCGGAGCCGGCAGCGGCCTGCGCCGTCCGCCGCGGCGCCGTCCGTCGCGAATCCGGCAGCCACGCCCACGCCGTCCGTCGCAGCCGCTCCGCCCGCGCCGCCCCGAGGCCCGAGCCACCACGCCGATTGCCACGGCCCCGACTGCTCCACCCGCGCCGCCCCGAGGTCTGGTGCTAATGGATTAAGGGCACAAAGAGGGCACGAGCCACGGCGCCGACGCCCGGATCAGCGCCGCCCTCGGCACGAGCCGCGGCGCCGATGGCCGGATCCGCGTCGCCCTCAGCCACGGCCGCGCCTGGCCACTCGTGCCGCCGCCGCCGGGAGTGAAACCATGCGCCGAGCCGCACGCCGCACGCCACTATTTGAGGAGTTAAGAGTTTGGAATCTGGGGTGAGGTGTGGAGGGCCAGGAACGACGACGTTTTATGCGATGCCAAATCTATCGGAGCCGTTCATTTAATCCAACGGCCAAGGGTGGGCGTGATGCTACGGGCTGAAGCTTATGAATCTTGAGATGGGCCGAATACTAAGTTGTCTCGGCCCTTTAGTATTTAAATAATGTTTTTTTTTCTTCTTTAAGAGCAATTGAGGAAACGTTCTAAGGAAAACAAAACTAAGACACGGTTACAATAAAAATAATCTAATTAACTAATATATAGCAAAAAATATTTTTAAATAAAATAAAATACATATATGTGCCTTTGTAAAAATTTCAAAACATTTGGAACTAATTTACTATTTTCTATATCTTAAATGAATTTCTACGAGCTTTTGAAAAAAATAACCACGGCTTGAGCTACACGTCCCATCTAACAATATCCAAAAATTAGAAAAAAAATCATATAAGTATATATATTCTATTTGAGCTCACATCCTAATAATCAATGAAAAATTAAGTGTTTGCTGAACATTACTCAAACTACTATTTTGGTGACTCCAACGAAAAAATCAATAATATCATAAAGTGGTCAAAAAATTCAAGGAATCTGTACAGGGTCATAATGTTGGTGTATAAGCTTGTCATACAAATTTTAAATTATTTTAACAAAGTAAGACTATACATTGTTCACAAATAGATAGATCCCTCACCTAGCTTTGTAAAACTATGTGAGAGATGTATCATTTGTGAGCAATGTATGGCACCTCTTTTTTTAAAACTGTTTGAATTTTTTATTGGAACATTATGCACAAAAACATGTTGTCTAGGGTTTTTTGTACTCGTGGGCTTGGCCAAATTTTGTGCACGAGCTGAATGTAAGCGAGTGCGCGAGCTTGAGGGCGCGTTAGCAGGGTGGGGCCCATTTATTTTTAGCGACAAGTAGATTGACGGTATACCTGTTTTTAGCGACAGACAGTTCAACGTTAAACATGATTATCTATGGCGACAGACAGTTGATCGCTAAATGAGGAATTAACGATTCGTCTGTAACTTATCTTTAGCGACACATCCTTCATCGACAAAAAAAATTAGCATCAGGTGTCTGACGGTGATGCGGTGTTGTGGTGTAGTATATTAACATGACAAGAAACAACAAATTTATAATTAGCAAAGTTTATTTCTATAGTAATTGTTAAATTAATGGATTTTTATTGATTTTCTTTTATAGAAATCATGTGTTTACGAACTAAAATAGACTCGTGATGCCCTTTACACAACATCTTGCCATTTATGTAAACTGTAAACCAAACTTACAGACTTTATTTTATGTCGCATGGAGTCTGAAGTGGAAAAAGTTATATAGGCCTTGTTTAAATCCAGATGTAAAGTTTTGGAGTATCACGTCAGATATCATATGAGGGTATCACATGTGGTGTTTGGATATTAATAAAAAATAACGCGCTTTTGAAAAAAAATAACAACTACTTGAACTATACTTCCCAT